GATCCTTATTTTAAAAGTACTCTGCTCTTTCTTATTCTCAAATGGTGTGTCTATTAAGTTGCCTGCTCCAACATAGCTGTTTGTTGCTTGGGAAAGAAAAAATGAAATCATGTGTATAGGACCCCCTTGTGCAATTAAATACCACTGTGACAGACAGAAAAGAAATTTGAAAGAAAAGCAGATTCTTGATATGGTATTTATAAGCATTCTTTACTGCCATGCTTTTCTTAAAGATGTTAAAATTATAGCATGGAATGTTTCAATAAGTTTGTAGCAAAGATCAAAGCCTTTAGAGAATAGGACTGAAACAAGCAAAAAATATTATTTTGTATGAAAGTCTGGAAAAGGAACTTATCTCAGACTTGTCCTCTGGCAACACTGCTGAAGAAATAACCTTTCTTTATATAAAGGATTCTGTGTTTACAGATGATGGTTGCAGGTCATGTATTTCCAAAATTCCTTTTCAGAATCATAAGAAGGAAAGTTTTAATACAAAAGAAGCAGCAATTGGAACATGACAGGAAAATTCATTTTTATTAACATATAGCTAATTTTTAAAAGCTACCCTTTAAATAACCCAAAAAATAATTTATACATCAGTCAGGTTAATGTAATAATTTCAGGATACTGATAAATTCCTAATTCTTTTTCTGAAAATGCTAATATGCATAGAAAACTGATACGAGCACAGCTTATTTTGCACAACTGACAGTCAGGTATCTGGTTCATTAATTTGGTGGAAAATGAATAATTTTGGTGAAAATAAGGGTGGCAATTATGAGCAGCATGTGGCATGCCAATAATTGTTAGTAATTGTAAAGAAAAGACTAATGGTGTCTGATAAACATCCCCTGCACAAGTTAATATTCATGACAACAGGTATGCCCCTGGAAAACTATGTGACAGTGAAAATTTTGCATAGTATATTTCATGGAGGGCAGTTTTATCTTCATAACTAAGAAATGGCAGAGGAAAGTTGTGGAAGTTTTAGAGATTATGGTAAATGCATTTCTAAATAGCAATGTTATACCAATTGAGATATGCAATGAGTAGTATTATCATAAGCATTCAATCTTAGCCCAAATCACATTCCCTTTGAAATCAATGATAAAATGGATTAAGCCAAATCCCTGCATGCTTTTGAAAATCCCACTGTATGCCATTTAATAAACTATTTGGATGCATACTAGGGGAAAATCCAGATTGATCTGTTATGTGCTTTCAAGTAAGGCTTTTCTTCTGGTCCCAAAGAATCAGGGTTAAGTATCTGTGACCCTAGTGTAGTCAACAAGTAGAGATAGGCACAAGGGACAATTCAGAAACTGAGAGCTACCTAGAAAATAAAACAACTGGAAAGGATGAGCAAAGGTGAACTAACTTCCCTTTGGTGCTTAGGTAACTCCTTTCACTCAGGATATAAAGCCCTCTTCTGATAGCAGGCAAGTAATGTTGCCACCCATCGTTTACATTATAACCTAGCAGTAAGAATATTTGCCAAGTAAGATTTTGTTTTGTCCCCTCTTCTTCTGACCCAATTATTCTTTCACACATCACAGCTTCAAAAGGAAGGACAGGCTGTTTTCCCATCACTGCCATTATTCCAACCTTGTTGCTAATAGGGCAGCTTCCATGGAGACAAGTTTGAATCCCCATCTCTGAGAAGGGCCTAGAACCCAGACCTACCATTTTCTGAATGAGTGATCTAAGCACTGGGAACCAAAATGTATTCTACCTATTAAAACACTGGAACAGGTAACCCAGAGAGGCTGTGGAATCTGCATCCTTGGAGGTTTTCACAACCTGGCTAGACAGAGCTTTGGCTGGGATGATCTAGTTGGGGGTGGTCCTGGTTTGAGCAGTGGGTTGGACTACATGACCTCCAGAGGTCCCTTCCAACACTAATTTTCTATGATTCTATTACACATCTGGATGGATTTAAGTGCTGAACTGCAAATCTACTCCACCCCGTTCAAGGCCCTCAAAATCTATTAATGCATCTACTATTATAAATGCCAACTTGCCCTTTAAGACTGAGTGACAAAAAAGCAATGAAAAGAAGTAGAACCCACTCACTTTTTCCTTTAACTGCTTTGCACTAACTACCCACTGCACACAACTAATAGGTGGGAAAGAATCTGTCCCTAAGCCCCCCTGTCCCTACATATACAAGTAAAGATGCTATGGGATCTAAAGCTTGAGCCACATAATTATGCCTCCTGTCATGCCACACGTGCTAGGCAGGAGGCATGATTGTGAGATCACAAAGCAGATCCCATCATGCCTTATTGCTGGTGCAGTGGGCATCCAATTCTGGAAAGGAGGTCTCCCTGCACCAGCAAGAAGCAAGTTCCCATAGATGGGAGCCCCCTCAGCTGACAGAGCTCCCTGCCATGGAGGTGTACCACACACCCCTATGGCTAGGAGACCACAGCTGCTGCAATCTCCCAGCTGCATACCATTGGAACATGCAACCTAGAGAGGCTGTGGAATCTTCTTTCCTGGAAATTTCCAAGAGGCGGTTAGATCGACACTTGGCTGGGATGTTTTAGTCAGGGATGACTCTTCCTTGAGTGGAAGGCTAGACTAGATAACCTTGGTCCCTTCCATCCCTACTTTCCTAACTGTCCTGTGACTATATGATCCATTTAGATATCAGAGAGACTGTCTTTTGCTACAATCTGAAATGGGAATGGCACATGCCAAAAGGAAAGAAAGTAGCCTGCTAAGTACATTTGTTTACTTACCTTTATAATACCTGAATGAAAAGATAAGGGATGTTTTCAAGCCGAATAGATTGGTTCTTGAAATACAATGTAGTGATTAGAGTAGTGATTCCTCTTCACCATGCTTTTAAAAAAAAGATCCTTTAAACATTTTTCTTTCTTTAAAATATTTCTTACCCTTTACCTCTACCTGCTCTTCCTTGTCCCCTTATTGGTGTTATTCAAGTGATAATCATAATTAATAATCAGGTTTGGCTGGTATTTCATTTTTTAATAAAATCAAATCACAAGAAGTGTACCTTCAAAAGTTTTCTCTCTCCTTTTCTTTAATAACAGATGTGTATCTGCCTTCTTACCTAGACACACACACAAAAACCCCCAAGTAGCTAATGATTTCATATCTGGATGTCCCTACAAAGAGATTCATTTTGTGCAGCCAAATAAAGGCTTTCAGATAATTTCTCATTTAGTGTCAGTGATATTCAGCAGTCAGAAATATTGCATAGATGCTACCTCAGTGATTGGTAGCTTAAATCTCATCTTTGTTATCACTCACATAAAAGAATGTAGCTTCAAGAAGTTAATCCATTGCTGATCTCTCTTGTCTGTGCATGAGTGCTAAAAAAATTATGAAACATCAAATTCCAGTTTCCTATGACTACTTAATAGATATTTAAGTTGATTTTTATCTGCCAATACTTCTAGTCAAATAATTATATACTTCTATACTTTACTTCATTCTAAGTACTGATGGCCCTGACTGTTGTAGCAAATACATCACCATTATTAATCAGTTTCATCTTCCCTAGATGCATGTAGTTGGGTACATGAATAATATGTTCCTTATCTTGCAGATGAGGAATTGGGTTATATCTTAGGATAAGTGGCTTGTCCAAGGTGTTAACAAGGTCAGAAATTCCTGACTGATCCAGGAATTTAATCCAGGTTTCCCGAGTTTCAGTGAAGTGCTCTCTCTGCTAGATGAGGGAGTAAGCAGCCTTCAAGGGGTTAATTTGCACCCCCTGGGTTCTCTCAGCTGTTGTTTCCCACATTGCTGTGGCTGCAGCAGCCACTTGTGTGACCCAGATCCTCTTCCTTCCTCTGACTTCCACTTTCTGCCCTCATGCCAGCACTGTGGGTCAGCATGGCATACTGTACTGAATAAGTTCGTGGCCCAGAGCATGTGGCTCAGAACAGCATGGTGCTGCAGGAAAATCTGTGGCCAGGGCAGCTAAGAATGAGGACAAGGTACCCATGCCTTGGTGCATGGTGCAATAGGGAGAGTCCTGTGTGGGCAGTACAGTAAGCGGGTGCTCACGTGGTGTGTGGTCCCTGCTGATGCAGCCTATGGGGTGTACAGCCCCTGGTCACTTAGCAATGGGACATCCCTGTACTAGGTTATCTTTACTTATTCAGGACTACCTCCCATAGTCTCTTGCTGGAACTTTAACTTTCAACAAAGCACACTGGTACAATGTGAGGTTGCCCACCAAATGGAACACCACTATTGATTATGATGGATCCAGAATCTTGATGGATATAAGGAAATTATAAGATAGAGAAGACAAAACTAGATGATAAAAATAAATAAAATCAATGTGGTTAATTGCATTGGGAAAAGAAATAAAGAATGTGACCATTGTAATGGGGTTAAAAAGGAAATGGGCAGTTAGCAGAGGAAAGTGAATAGAATGCAGAAAGTGGAAAATTCAGACAGGCAGAGGGTCCAAATCCTTTCTCTCTCATGCATACAACACCTGGCCTCTCCCTCTACCTGCACCCTTCCAGTATCCTGTGCAGCTATTCTGTGAAGGAAGAAGAGGTCCCAATGAGCTTCAATTGTAAAAACCCTCAAAGGAAATCTTTTAACTTAAACTTTTTTTAAAAGAACATCTTCCACTGGATACATAGAGTAGACACAGCTTATCAGCATGTGGTTAGAGTAGAAAACTGAAGTGTGCCAAATAGCTTGTAACATTAGGTACATTTCTTTACACTAAGTTGAGCATGTGTATAAGCACTGTCTTAAGAAATCAAGCACTTGCATGAGTGTTTTCTTGATTTAGAGTCATAAAGGAGACCAGATGACCAGTTTCTGGAACAATTCACTTCTCATTTGTCTTGAAAATAGATTTTCATTAATTAATGTTCTTTATCTAGATTTAGGAAGGGAGATGGCAGGGACAAGTAGTTGAATACAATGTGGCTTGATGTTTATTTGGGGCATGGGAAGTTTTGGCAGGGGGTTCCTATTTAATGGATATTTTTGTTTTTCAGACTTGAATCTCCAACTAGATCTTTAATAATGGAAGCTCCCAAGGGAGTGCAAGTTAGTGCTGCTGCAGGAGACTTAAAGGCCACCTGCAGGAAAGAACTGCACTTGCAGTCCACAGAAGGGGAGGTAAGTTTTGTGCAGAATTGAATGCTCTGCAGCTCTGTCCAGCCAAATGTACAAGAAAAATGAAAGCATGCTGTGTAAGAAGTACTACATGCAGGGCAACATAAAAACCACATGGAATATTCTGTGATTACCCAAATTAGAAATGAATTTACTTAAGTCATACTCTTTCATCATTATTTGATTTCTAAAAAAAATTTGAAGTATTCCATTTTATTCACACCATTACTTTCAGGAACAAATATACTAAGAAAACCCATTAAGTGTTTGCACTCAAAATTGTACATATTATATGGAATGAAATGCTGCAGGTTACTCAAGTCCTTCACTAGATCCCTAAAAATGAGTCAGTTAATTGGTAGGTTAGGAATTGACTATGCCCTTCACAGTTAGGATTTTGCAGACCGACATGATATGACAAACCAACCAATAAATCATAAATTTTGAATAACGCTTTGGTGAAGCTTGAGAGAGAAAAAAAATCTAATACTCTGTAATTGCATTACTTAGGATAACAGATACTTTGATTATCATTATCGAAGAACTTAAATTGATTATATTGAATCAATTTGACTTTGCTGACTATCCAAAGAAAGTTAAATTGATTAGATTCTTTACCCAAGTTCCTCATACGCGTAAGTTTAAACATTTCATTTGCCAAAACACTGCCTCTGGATGTCATGATATTCTAGTAGGATTTTCAAAACCATTCAAATAAAAAAGGAAGTACTATTGTCACAAATATTTTACTCATAATACAAGCATCTGTTAAAGACATTCAATAATATCAACACAAGCTGACAGGTAGGTTTGGCAAAATATTGCATATGAATACTTGTTAAATTCCTAAACTGCCATTAAATTTTCCACCAATTAAAACTGTAAACCCATCTGGGATTTCCCAGATGGTTAGTTCCATGCTGATTCAGTAATAGTTGTCATGAAATCTTATTACTGTAACTCTCCACCTCCATTTTTTATCTACTAGGAGATATTTAATAAAGCAAAATGTTTCTTGTAAATTCCTTAATTCCAGCATTACTGTGAAGTTTTATGTTCGGTAAAACTGCCGGTACTGCACAGTCTCAGTGGCACCTGGGGTGTTTCTGACCCTACTGCGCAGTAGTGGCAGCATTACAGTTAGTGCCTGCTTACACTGTCGCCACAGCGATGAGCTACATTGCCATAGCTTATCGCTACAGCGACGTAGCGTCTCATGTAATGTGCTCTGTGAGTAAAGATTTGATGATGGATTTAATGTTTCTTCTAAAAGGGCACATTTCCCTTTAAAAAAACCAACCATTCATAACTGACACTAACTAGTGTATTTTTTGGCAGTATCAACAGGTAGTAACCATGCTGTCATTCAGTTTGGGCTAAACTGCTTACTTGCCCCTAAAGTTGGTCTTCTTACAACACAGATTGATGCACACTGGTTGGATAAGTTTGGAAAGTTTTGGTAGTTGCTGCCCATGTTTTAAGTTCTTTGTGGATACACAGGGGGCTTTGATGTTCAGGGCAAAATAATCCAACACCATTTGAGAGTGCTAAATTGTAGAATAAAATGATAAAGCAGGTATATACAGGAATAGTATATGAGAAGTATTACATCAAGTATATAATAATTAAAATTTAGTCATACTGAATAGTTTACAGCTTTTTCTTTCTTAGCTCATGAGAACTCCACTTTGAAAGAGTTTTTATTTTTATTTTATTAATAGAACATTTTTTCAAATTAAATCAGAAGCTTAAAAGCAATCCTTGCTTTCTATGATAAACAAATCCCTTGATCACTTTCATATATGCATTAATGCACTATTTTAAGATTAAAAGTTTTGTACTAGAAAAGTACTACACTTTATTTTTGTATAGTTCATATACCAGCTAACCAAATTGTACTTTATAACATATGGAGATTTTTACTTATTCTACAAATTCAGACAAGATAAATTTAATGAATTTCTATTTTTTTTCTGAAACATAATTATCTCCTTCATATGCTAGCAATTATTTTTATAGTACTTGAAATCAACCAATAATAACAAAATCTAAGAACATTTTGGATTTACTTGGATTAAATTATGAAAGATATGCTCCCCTTTTATTTAGCAATAACCTTAAGATATTATTTTTTGAAGAATTTAAATAAGTTTACCAAATCCCTTTCCCCCAGTCCTATTTCTCTTATATAATATGATTTGTAGTCATTCCTGTCATAAACTGAAAACTTTTGCAAGCATTCTGGTTTCTGCTATTCAGTACTTTTTCTTTTTATTTACTTCAGTATCACAATAATCTTTTTATTTGAATTATAAATTATAAAGAATGATCCCAGATTGAGTACTGGAGGCTATAATTTACTTTCAGGTTCTGCTGCTCTTTATGAAGCACTTGAGCTACACCCTTGTGATTCAAGAGATCAGTAGAATCCTTTGATTCAATTACAGCTTGGCATTTAATTGTGAGCTATGAATTATTCTATAAATAAACCATAGCCAATGGCTTAAAGTAGCATCATTTACACATAAAATAGAATTAGAAGCTCTGGGCATTAACAGATTCCGTCAGTTCATATAAGAAGAAACATTCCATCACTGAAAAATACAAGCCCATGGCTGCTAATTGACTATTGCTTCTTCTACATATAAAGACAGTAGAAAAGATCAAAGATATTCACATCATGGTATTTTCTTCCTGTAATTACCATTTTTTGCAAAGCCTACAAATGCATACAAATATATCATACTATAAATAATTCAGCCTAAGATGATCAGATGGCTAAAGGAGTATTTGATGATGTCAATTCAAATACTGATAATATGATTTAAGTGATTTTAATGAAAGATTTGTCTTTGAAGGAGAAGGATGTCTATCTGGACCAAGTTCTTATGAAACCAAATCTAATCCTGATTCTTGTGGTATTCAAACAGATCATTTCCATGTAGCCAAGCCCCTCCCTTTTAGCAACATTCACTGTCTAGTAGGGCTGTGCGAAGCTTCAGTCCCTGATTTATTCAGCAGAGATTCGGCCCACTTCAGTGGCCAAATCTCTGAATCAGAATTGAATCAGAGGATCTTTTAATCTCTCTGAATCGAATTAGAACCCTCCAAATCAATTCAGAAAGATTCAGAGATTCAGACACAGAGACAGTTTTAAATCTTTTTTCTACATACCTCTAGGTAGCAGGGGCTCATGAGTGCTGCGATACTGAGGCACATGGCGCATCCCACAGAAGTACGGGGGGCTCCCCAATGCACTCTGTGGCAGACCCAGAGGCACTTCCAATCCACTTCTAGGTCCACTGGGGAGCATGCTAGGAAGCTGCCCATCCTTGCCCGGCTCAGTGACTTGGGGCACCTGGGGTCCCCCTGTGGCTGATCTCTGAGCCAGGGAGGAGCGGGCGGGGGGGGCCAGTGTACTCCCTGGGGGACCCAGAAGTGGACCAGAAGTACTTCGGGTCTGCTTCCAAGTTCACCGCTGAGCACATGGAGGGCCTCTTCCCCACTCCTGTGGGATGCTCCACGCACCCCAGTATTGCAGCAATCATGAGCCATGCCTGCTACCTCAAGGTATGTAGAAAAAACTTTTAAAACTGTGTCTATGTCCAAATTGCTGATTCTCTGAATCATTATTGAACCTTCAGATTTGGATTCGGCCGAATCAAATCAGGGACAGAGATCCGAATCAAATCACTGTCCCTGATTTGGGCTGAATAGGGCCCACTTCAGACACTCCTACTGTCTAGCAAAGGCCAAATAAAATAAAGGAGAAAATTACTCATATACACAAACATACTCACCGTTACTGTCACTTTGTTCCCAGCCCTTTCCCCATTTTTTGTCCAGTTTTGCTTTGCTATTATACTTTTAGACTGCAAGCTGTCTGGGGCAAAAGCATGTTTTAGTTTGCTTTTTTTATATACCTTCTTGGATAATGAGGTTTGATTCTTGGGTGGGGTCCCTCTAACTAGCCTACTAATAATGATATGACTATTTGTTGAAAGTATTAATTTAAACTTTATACATGTGTTGTTCTCTACTTCTTCCTGTATTTCAGTTTACATCTTTGCTGAAGCAGAGTTAGTTCTGTACAGAGTGGGTTATGTTAGGGTATATTTTCTATATCTCATTGTTAGATTGTTTGATAATCTTCTGAAAGATGTGGTAGAAACACCATTAATTTTGTCATCTAAAACATTGCAAAATGTCTAAGAACATATTTATGTAGGAAATAACACTATAGTAGAAGAAAGCATGTGCTAAATTTCTAAATAGCTTCCCTTGTAGCTATTTACCTTCCATTGTAGCCCTTCTCAACCTTTTAGGATTTTATTACTTTCTAGTATTTTTAAAGTTTCTGTGTCCATGATAAATTTTCTTCTGTTTGCTGTTTTAGGGTGAGTTTCCTCTTATATTTTCTTTTCAATATCATGGCCTTTTAAATCCACATGTTTCTAAGGATGTTAGTTAAACTTGTCCATTTAACCAACTTAAAAAAAAAGGAAACTTAAAAGGAAAAGATATCCTACTCAAGTGAATTCATTAAACTATAATGATAAATTAAATTGGAGAACCAAAGAACTAGCATGGAACAAAACCAAACAAATAGAATGAGGTTTCTTTTCATATTGTCTTCAAAATATTTTATGGAACATTACTAGCTACTTGTCATCCTATATGGTAAGTAAATAAATAATAGGGCTGAAGGGGAGTACCTCAACATTTCTTTGGAAGAAATGCTGATTTGTCAATGTTGACACTGATTAGGAAATGTTTTTGTTTTGATGAGTTTCTATATGATATATTTTTCAATATTTTCAAAATCATTGAGACATTTTCAAGTTAATTTACTATTATATTTATCTTGAAGTATTTATCTTCATATAGTAAAAGGACTGGGATTTTTCCCAATTTGAAAGCAAAAGGCAAAAAGGAAAAAAAAACCCCAAAAAACCCAATACCCCCAAATGGAAAAAGGCAGGATAAAAAAGTGTATTTTTCAG